CACACACACACACACACTAGCACACATACACTCTCTCTCACACACTCATACTCTCTCTCTCTCTCTTTCTCACACACACACACACACACACACACACACACACTCACACACACACATACACACACACATACACACACACATACACCTTCATCCACTCTTTATTGATACGACGTCATATACAATGCGTCATGTAATGTCCATCTAAAATACATGTTTAATGCATTTGTGTTCTCTCTCTCTCCCTCTCTCTCTCTCTCTCTCTCTCTCTCTCTCTCTCTCTCTCTCTCTATCTATCTATCTATCTATCTATCTATCTATCTATCTATCTATACATATATATTTGAGTTTTTTAATGTTTGTCTTATATATCTCATTTATTATTCTGTTGTGAGTCATTTGATTACTTTTTCGTAACTTTTAATGAACATTCACGCGGTCTTGAGCTGCTGTCATCCTGTTTCGTTGCTTTGTCTTTCCATCTTGCTACACCGTCTTACTGTCTCTAAATGTGCCATGAGGGACGTTCTGTCTGAGCGTTTTGAGTGATTTTTTGTCTTGTTTTATTTTGTATGTGTCCACATTCGTGAAAAAAATATGTTTTTACTGGCTGCTAATGTTTTGCTTCAAACAAATTATAAACTTTCAAAATGTCATCGACTGCACTTTTTATTTTGGAGTCCCACGAATGTGCCTGCGTCTAACCGTTAAACAACAAGTTCAAGCGAAACATTCATTTCTTTTTGCCTCAAATTATTATCGACGCTCGTAATTACACAGGGTGATAATGTAATGCTCCATTGTAGATAGAACACTAAGCAGATGTTTCAACAGTTCTAGTTTGATATTTAGATCAAAGCTGTTTCTTTTTCCGCATTTCTGAAAAAGCAATGTTCATTCACATAGAAAATAACGTCCCCCCCCCCCCTTCGTAAAACCCCCCCAGAGTTCATGCACATAGATAATACTTTTTCCCCCCCATTTTTGTTTACTATACATCAATGTTGACACACATACACGGTTATCGTATGGCATCGACGATACGTTGTTTACTGAAAACCCCTGACTGTCCAATCAAGCCAAAGCACCAAGATCATTTCAATACTTGCATTTACAGACATCAACTTATGGCTGTCTTTATATCATGTTTTGGATGTGAATTTATTTGCTGCATTCAGTTTCAGTTGTGCCCCAGTTTAAATAATATGAGTATGTTTTTTACATCTTGCCAACAGCCTGTGATATTTTAAGCTGCGCTTTCAAAACCACGCTGGTACGGCTTAACGAATTTTTGTTGCAAATTTGTTTTTTGATTAAAAAAAAAATTCGTTTGACCATTTGGCAGCACGTTCAAGCATGGTTACATTTAACAAGTCAGATTTTCTTTTAGTTACCCTCGTTTATGTACGCCATCACCACAAAACGGAACAAATGTTTTTCGTTTCGTTTTCTTTTTGCGCCATTGAGCATGATTCCAACAAACTAATAATTGATAAACCAAAAAACTTTTAGGCCAGTCCCAGAGTGGCTCAGTAGGTCTGACCAGTAGCTCGCCTGGCTCGCACCGTGCAAATAAACGAATACATTATCGGGTGCTTGAGCAGCGTCGCTGTTTGGTCTGTCTATTGTCCGCTGAGCTGCGCGACGCGTCATACGTGCTATTCAACAGTGTTGTAAAACATGGCGGACATGTGTCACACCCAGCCTCGCTTCGTGTTTATTTTCGACTGAAATTCTTCACAGATCATCAACATCAGCAAGAAGTAAGTATTATTAGGTGCTTTACTATTGGGTATTGATGCTAGCATCAGCACTTGACAACAAAATCCCAAGAAATGCACTTTATCTTCTATTAACATTTCGAATCGAGAGGTTGACCTAGTTTCGACTGTTTGTTAACCTTCGTAGGACACTCTGGGACCGGCCTCAGAGGACAACTAGCCTGCACGAAAAACACCACAACCAACATTAACAACAACAACAACAACAACAACAACAACATCAGCAGCAACAACGAACCACCACCACCATAACCCCAATGACTAACAACATCAACAACCGCGACAACAGCAGCAGCTCAAACAAGAACAACAACAACAACAACAACAACAAAAATAACCTAGTACTGAAGTTTACTTCACGACAAAAAAAAACC